TCTGAGCAGGAGAGCTTGAGGATCTGGGGGACTTCACAGAAGAACTGGTCCACGGCATTGCCTTGGCAGAGGGGAATGGAAAATGTATTGGCCGTGTGCAGCACAGCATTGAGGAACCCAGTGCCCCAGGCAGCTGCTGCCATGTGGGCACAAGCTCTGCTGCCCAGGAGGGTCCTGTGGTGCAGGGGTTTGCAGATGGCAACGTAGCGGTCATAGGCCATGACAGTGAGCAGATAAAACTCTGCTGTGATCAAGAAGAGAAAGAAAAATAACTGGGCAGCACATCCTGTGTAGGAGATGGCCCTGGTGTTCCACAGGGAATTGGCCATGGATTTGGGGAGAGTGGTGGAGATGGAGGCCAGGTCAAGGAGGGAGAGGTTGAGGAGGAAGAAGTACATGGGAGTGTGGAGGCAGTGGTGAAAGGCAACAGCTGTGATGATGAGGCCGTTGCCCAGGAGGGCAGCCAGGTAGATGCCCAGGAAGAGCCAGAAGTGCAAGAGCTGCAGCTCCCGTGTGTCTGCAAAGGCCAGGAGGAGGAACTGGGAGCTGGAGCTGCTGTTGGACATTTGTTTCCTCTGTGCATTGGGACCTGTCCAAGGAGGAAAAGGCAGTTACAAGTTAGGGCAGACGTCTCAGAGCAAAACCTATTCCAGTTCTCATGGGAAACCCCTGAATTGCCTCTCCCCTTTCAGAAAGAACTTTGGCTGCTCCCTTCTTTGAGCTCTGATCGTGCTGGCTGAGGATGCCCCAAGGAGCAGGGGGCTCTGCTCTGGGATCTGGAGGAGTCAGTTCTGCCCTACAACAATAGATAAATAGCAAGTGGGAGTGATGTTAAATAAAATTCCACTTGTGGTATTAAAGAGCTCTTCAGCATTGTCACTCCCAAGTCACCGAACTGCAGAGCAGAGCTGTGGGGATTTTGGTTTTTTCCCTTGGTTCCAGTGTCCTCACCACAGCAAGGAGTATTTTTAAGGCAGAGATCGCTGGCATTTTTGCTTGTCTCCAAGGGAAACCTTGTGGGTCCTGTGAAGCCAAAGGACTGTCCCTTTGTGCAGAGTGAGGACAGCCAGTCTGTCCATCAGCCCTGGGCTCAGCTGCCCTGGGCTGGCGCCTCTTTGAGCTGGAGGGCAATTGCACCCAGATGTTCCTGTGAGAAGAAACTGGGCAGTACTGACTGTCATGACCATGGAAGAGTGGGCTCTCACTT